TTCTGTTGCTGCAGAGGTTGAGATAGCTGCAGAGGTTGATGGGACTGGTTCTGTAGATGACAGAGGTTGATGGGACTGGTTCTGTAGATGCTGCAGAGGTTGATGGGACTGGTTCTGTAGATGCTGCAGAGGTTGATGGGACTGGTTCTGTGATGCAGAGGTTGATGGGACTGGTTCTGTAGATGCTGCAGAGGTTGATGGGACTGGTTCTGTAGATGATGCAGGTTGATGGGACTGGTTCTGTAGATGCTGCAGAGGTTGATGGGACTGGTTCTGTAGATGCTGCAGAGGTTGATGGGACTGGTTCTGTAGATGCTGCAGAGGTTGATGGGACTGGTTCTGTAGATGCTGCAGGGGTTGATGGGACTGGTTCTGTAGATGCTGCAGAGGTTGGATGGGACTGTAGATGCTGCAGAGGTTGATGGGACTGCTTAGATGATGCAGAGGTTGATGGGACTGGTTCTGTAAGATGATGAGAGGTTGATGGGACTGGTTCTGTAGATGATGCAGGGTTGATGGGACTGGTTCTGTAGATGATGCAGAGGTTGATGGGACTGGTTCTGTAGATGATGCAGAGGTTGATGGGACTGGTTCTGTAGATGATGCAGAGGTTGATGGGACTGGTTCTGTAGATGATGCAGAGGTTGATGGGACTGGTTCTGTAGATGCTGATGCAGAGGTTGATGGGACTGGTTCTGTAGATGCTGCAGAGGGTTGATGGGACTGGTTCTGTAGGATGCTGCAGGGGTTGATGGGACTGGTTCTGTAGATGATGCAGAGGTTGATGGGACTGGTTCTGTAGATGATGCAGAGGTTGATGGGACTGGTTCTGTAGATGATGCAGAGGTTGATGGGACTGGTTCTGTAGATGATGCAGAGGTTGATGGGACTGGTTCTGTAGATGATGCAGAGGTTGATGGGACTGGTTCTGTAGATGATGCAGAGGTTGATGGGACTGGTTCTGTAGATGCTGCAGAGGTTGATGGGACTGGTTCTGTAGATGATGCAGAGGTTGATGGGACTGGTTCTGTAGTTGCTGCAGAGGTTGATGGGACTGGTTCTGTAGATGATGCAGAGGTTGATGGGACTGGTTCTGTAGATGATGGGACTGGTTCTGTAGATGCTGCAGAGGTTGATGGGACTGGTTCTGTAGATGATGCAGAGGTTGATGGGACTGGTTCTGTAGATGATGCAGAGGTTGATGGGACTGGTTCTGTAGATGATGCAGAGGTTGATGGGACTGGTTCTGTAGATGATGCAGAGGTTGATGGGACTGGTTTTGGCTGCCTTTTGACTTTCTTAAAAAAAAATTTAAAGGATGGTTGAACTGAAACTTTCTTCTTTTTGCGTAAATCATTTTGTAGCATCATAGACATTCAGTAATACCTCTTTGAATCTTGGTGATTCTTGCTGTGTTGAGATCTTCCTGTTAAAATTTAAACAATCCTTCTTCAATAAGCTTGAAACCATCTGTCATTTCTTTTGTAATCAATCACTTTCGTTCTGGAGTTTTAGCTTCCTCTACATCCTCTGACAAAATTTGCTTCTCCAGTTCAATCAGGTCCTCATTGCTTAATTCTTCAGTATGAGACTCAAGCAACTGTGTGACATCATCCTCATGAATATCAGGCTGGATTTGGTGCCCAAGGTCTACCACTGTCTGTGTCACTTCCACAACATAATTTTTAAAGCCCCTGAAATCATGGACAAACTATGGGCAGAATTTTTTCCAAACACCATTCATTTTAGCTTCTTTTAACTCAGCCCATGAATCTGCAATGTTTCTCACAGCATGAAAAATGTTTTATGACTTCCAAAATTCTTTTAAAGGCCTACTCTCTTTTCGTTCTGTTGCCCTGATAGCTTGAGCAAATGCCCTTCTCAGGTACAGTATTACCCCGCTTTACGCGGTTTCACTTTCCGCGATTTCTCATTTACGCGGTGCCTCGCCAGAACCGAACTTTCACGCTCCGTGGTGCATCTACTCATATACGCGGGAAGCGGCGCGGGCAGGATGCGCACAAGGTCGCCCAGTCATCAAAATATTACCGAGTTTTTCACCCGCCACCCACCACAGCTGGCCTAAGTCAGTGATAGTGAGGATATGGACTTATATGGACTTTGAGGGGTTTGACAAAGAGGCCCTGCAAGCCTATGTGGTGGATAGTGATACAACCAACCGCCCATCCCTGTGTGCCCAGCCATCTTTTCTACTAATGTAAGTGTTAAAAAAAACTAATATTATTGATATTTCTCTTAATTATTAATTGTGTGTGCATACCATCATAAAGTTAAGAGAATATTTTTACTACAACATAGTTGTGCGTCGTCAAAAAGTGGAGTTTGGGGGTCGGGCCAGTCTCTATTGGAATTAATCCCATATGTTCTGATGTTCACTTTACGCGGTACCCTGTGGGTTCAATTGACCGCGTAAATCGGGGTACTAGTGTAATATGCTTTAAATGAGGCAATAGCTCCCTGGTCCATCGGTTGTAAGACAGATGTTGTGTTTGGAAGTAAGAACACAATTTTATGTTTCAATGAACATCAAAAAGTGCAGGATGGCCAGGTGCATTGTCAAGTACCAATAAAATTTTAAAAGGTATTGACTTTGAAATACAATACTGCTCCACTTCAGGGATAAAATGATTAAGGTACCAGTCTTCAAAAAGGGCCAGTGTCACCCAAGCCGCCTTATTAGGTTCCAGATAACTGGAAGTGCTGCCTTAAAAAACACCCTTCAATGCTCTAGGATTTTCTGAGTAGTAGATAAGCAAAGGTTTTAGTTTGTAGTCCCCTGCAGCATTGCACCCCAGCAGTAAGGTCAGCCTCGGGCTTCCTTTTCCAAAGTAAACCAGTCACATCAATATTAAAAACTTACTCAACACAATAACCCCTTCTTCAATTATTTTAGCTAAAACAGAAGGAAATTCACTTGCTGCAGCTTCATCTGCACTAGCTGCTTCATCTTGCATGTCACTGTTATGTAAGTTTGCCCTTGTCTTGAACCGATTAAACCAGCCCCTACTAGCGACAAAATCTTCCCCATCACTTTCACCACCACATTTAGCCTTCAAGTCAGCGTGCAATCTTTTTGCTTTTTCTTGAATCAAGGCTAAACTTAGAGGCAAATGCCGTTGATTTTGATTTCCAACCCATATCACTAACAATTTTTCCATATCATTTATCAATCCACTTCTTTGTTTTGTTATCACAGTTGAGTGCATTGGTGTAGGTCCTTTTACATGTTCAAGAATTTTCTCTTTGACGTTAAAATTAATTCCGACCATTGACCAACTGAAGCCCAATGCTTTACCAATCACTGAAAGTGTTTCACCTTTTTCATAACGTTTAAATACATCAACTTTCACTTCCATTGTAATTGTTTTTCCTTTTCTTGGATGCATTACTATCACTTGCATGAGGTTTGTGTTTGGGAGCCATGATGGGAGCAGAAAAAGAGTGAAATAATAAACAAAAACCAGCAGTTTGCACTCGATCATGCACATTAATACTGTGAGGGTAGAGCGTACTGATGCTCCCTCAAGGAGTGTGGCTGGGTGCAGTGCGTCACTCCCAACGCATCGCTCCGCCTCACCACTATATCATACAAACTAATTCTCGTACATAAATACTGAGAACCAGTTGTACTTATGTCAGATTCTTAAAATAATTGACATTATGGGACCTCATTCGTATCGGTGGGTGTTCATAAGTCGGGGACTTCCTGTATAAAACTATAAAATTAGAAAAATAAAATGCATATGTGGGAAGTAAATGAGTTATGAGGCGGTGGGTTACTGGGCTTGAAATGTGTGACGTGAAGTCACTGTATACCCTGTACTCACTTATCATGGTGGCCTCCACACATCTGTGAGTCAGCTCAGCTGCTTGATTGAGTGAACTGTGTCACGAGCTTGATGCGTGGGAGGTATGCGTGTGTAAGAACTTTTCTTTGTACATAAAATAATTTATACTGTACCAGTAAATTTGAGGAATAAAAAAATAATAATAAAAACAAAAAAATACTGTGTTGCTATTTAACAGGTGACGGTGAGAGAGCAGAGCAGTGAGTGAGGAAATGGCAGCTGTAGCTCTCTTCCCCCCACCCTCAGTGCTTGCTTCTACACACATAATGATTAATTCCCTTTATGTTTGTGACCTTATGATAATTACATATTTTAATTATTTTTTGGGAACTCTCTGTGCATATTTAAACTTAAATAGGCCTAACCAGCCAAGTCACGAGATGCACTATTGATAGGTACAGTACTGTATATATATATAACCATATACTGTACTTTGTGGGTGAATTAATGGATTTTCATTGGTAATTTTGACTACTGTATTTGCATTTTTGGCTTTGTGCGCCCTCTTCAGAACATGTAACCCCCGTGTAAGATGTGACACAACTGTACACTACTATTCTGGTAATCACACAAGATTTTGCATCGTTTATCATGATGTGAAGGCAGAAAATAGTTTAACAGATTTATTTAATCAAATTTATATTTCAACTCTAAACTAAAAGTCTTAAAATACAATTGTAATGTTCATTGATGTAAAAAAAAGTTTAGGTATGTAGAATCACATGTTAACAGGTACAGTAAAACCTTCATATACAGGTATTTATTTCTTTGATTATTACAATTTGCTTCCCCACACTCACTGTTTACTAATATTCTTTTCATACACTTTCATGTTTTAAGACAAATGAGGTGACAGGAATAAATAGACTGAGGAGGAGGTGTAAAGATAACATGAGTGAGAAGTGTGATGATGGACGACTGTTGAGCCTTGTGGATGGTGGTCAGCAGCAGGAAGAATGTAATCGTTTCATCATTACAAGTCTTTTATCAAGATTTTTTAATTGCTGGAAATCTCTTTGAGGGATTAGTAATTTTGAGGAACAGTACAAGTTACATCACAACCTTATCCCTTGAAGTAGAAAAGTTATTTTGAAACTAGATTTGGTTTCTTCAGTTAAAGTATCTCCTCAGGAACTAAGGGTAAGGATGATGACGTGGACCACCCAGACAGTCCCAGCCATGGAGGAGAGAGCGAGTTTGTCTCAGACTCTTTCCAGCCATCATCAAAAGACCTGGAGGAAGTGAAGCGAGGGATCTCTAACCTCACCAAACCCTCAGGTAAGAGAGAAATAGTAAACCTTAAGTAGATGGGTATGAGCCAGGAAAATGTGTTACCTGTAGTTCATAAACAGAAATAGGGGAATTCCATAGTTCATGCCAAGTAATTTAATAATTATTCTTCATATTGTTGGATAACAAGAAATTAATATTTTTCTATATGCAGTACTGTATAGTATAATTGTTTATTTCTTTTGATAGAGCTTTACGTGAGTCTTGGAGACATAACTATTGCTACACACACAGATTGTTGTTTGAACAGTACAGTACAATATCTTGAGTATTTATTGGAGTATGAAATTAGTGTAATTTACAGTACAGTGACAGTTTTATAACTACAGTCATCCCTTGGTTATCATGCCTAATTGGAACCACGCCGAGTGATTGATAACGAAAAACGCGATAACGAAAGTACAGAACCCAAGACCCAAACCCAACTTTCCCATTTTACGACCATTTAGACCCACTAAATATATATATATAATGTTATGTTAAATATCAGAAACACACATAGGCATGGCTAGGTTTATTACAAAGTGATGAAAAGGGTATGCTCAATACTGTAGTCCACAAAACATGTAGCTATGCTTTTTTTTTATTTGGTCCCCCATCACAGGAGTCCATTTTCTCTCACTTCAGGAGTCCTGAGTCCTCCGTTTTCTCTCAATCTTAGAGTGCACCCGAGACTTCGTTATTCCTTAGTAATGACACAGAATTTGATATTGCAACTGGGGTTGCAATTGTTGAGGCAACTTAGGTATGTCTGATTACAGTTGGAATATTCAAGACCCATTGTGAGTGATGTTTAAAGCTTCAACTGTCTTTATGGTTGGTAAAACTTGTCAAGTCTGTCAGTCTGAGTAGCATGTATGAGTGCGTGTCTTTGCACAGCTTTCATTCTGACCACTAAAGATATAATGTTATGGTAATTATCAGAAACACACATAGGCATGACTAGGTGTATTACAAAGTGATGAAAAGGGTATGCTCAATACTGTACAGGTAGTCCACAAAACATGTAGCTATGCTTTCTTTATTTGAGTGCCCCGTCATAGGAGTCCATTTTCTATTACTTCAGGAGTCCTGAGTCCTCCGTTTTCTCTCAATCTTAGAGAGCACCAGAGACTTCGTTATTCCTTAGTAATGACACAGAATTTGAAATTGCAACCCCAATTGCAACTGGGGTTGTAATTATTGAGACAACTAGATGAGTCTGATTACAGCAAATGTGTTATTGTCAATTTGTAGGTGAAAGATTTTATCCTCAATAAATGGAGGCAAATGCGTGATAACCAAATTCTCCGAAATGCTATAAGCAGGTGTGCAGATTTTGATGGAGGCGTGATAATGAAAACCGCGATAACCAAGTGCGCTATAACCAAGGGATGACTGTATAGTGAAGAAAAGGCTAAGAAAAAATACAGTGATATCCCCATTAGCCGGAACAATTGGTGCAGATCACTTCCAGGGATGAGAGATTTCCGGCTAACCAGACGACTTTCTCAAACCCGGAAAAATTCCATATCCCTGGCACCTTTTCGGTGACTGGGAAAAGTTCAGTGTCTAAACTAGACCTCTTGCTCAGACGCACACTACGCCACTTCCCCAGAACGTTTCTGGGCTCTGGAGATGTTATCCTTGAGTCTAAACTACCAGAGTCCATAAATGCAGTTCTAATTAAGTTAGAAATTCCATTTCTTTACTATAATAATCCAGAATAATTTATCTAAAACTTTGTCTTAATACCCGTAAATATATTTTAAGATTAAAAATCTATATGATATGGGCATGAATGAAGCTGTGTCTTACAGCAGACTGTTATTTTCCACTCCCATGGAGCTGTGGGGATTTAGTTGTTCTCGTGTAACTGACCTGATTGAACGTAAGGTCACCCTTTCTTGGGTGGAGGATTAGTGGGTCTCATGACCTGAAGATGTCTTGAATAAACACGAAACCTAAAGTATTTTTAGAGAGATTGTGGTAAGTACAGATATAAGTATAAATGAGCAAAGTTGTATTCCTTCAACATTACATTACATAACATTTTAAAATATTGAGTGAGAAAGCAAAAAGGTGTGGGTGATTAGAGAAATGGAGTGGAAATGAGTGTTGCCAAGCACTCTTTAACAGCTGATATTTTACTCGCTACCATGCAGTCACACACACACAGATTTGTCACACAGTAAGACCCTCACTCCTTATGTTTGCTGTCTTAATTCCCTTGTTAGGGGTGTGTGAGTAGTGTTGGAGTGCATGTGGGTGGGTGGTGTGTGTGTGTGTGGGGAGGGTGATGTTGGGGTGTGTGTGTGTGTGGGAGGGGTGATGTTGGGGTGTGTGTGTGTGTGGGGAGGGTGATGTTGGGGTGTGTGTGTGTGTGTGGGAGGTGATGTTGGGGTGTGTGTGTGTGTGGGAGGGTGATGTTGGGGGTGTGTGTGTGTGTGGGGGAGGGTGATGTTGGGGTGTGTGTGTGTGTGTGTGTGGGGAGGGGTGATGTTGGGGTGTGTGTGTGTGTGGGGGAGGGGTGATGTTGGGGTGTGTGTGTGTGTGTGGGGAGGGGTGATGTTGGGGTGTGTGTGGGGAGGGGTGATGTTGGGTGTGTGTGTGTGTGTGTGGGGAGGGGTGATGTTGGGGTGTGTGTGTGTGTGTGGGGAGGGGTGATGTTGGGGGTGTGTGTGTGTGTGTGGGGAGGGTGATGTTGGGGTGTGTGTGTGTGTGTGTGGAGAGGGGTGATGTTGGGGTGTGTGTGGGGAAGGTGTGATGTTGGGGTGTGTGTGTGGGGAGGGGTGTGATGTTGGGGTGTGTGTATGGGGAGGGTGTGATGTTGGGGTGTGTGTGTGTGTGTGGGGAGGGAGTGATGTTGGGGGTGTGTGTGTGTGTGTGGGGAGGGGTGATGTTGGGGTGTGTGTGTGTGTGGGGAGGGGTGATGTTGGGGTGTGTGTGGGGAGGGTGTGATGTTGGGGTGTGTGTGTGTGTGGGAGGGGGTGTTGGGGGTGTGTGTGTGTGGGGAGGGGTGATGGGTGTGTGTGTGTGTGTGTGGGGAGGTGATGTTGGGGTGTGTGTGTGTGTGTGTGGGAGGGGTGATGTTGGGGTGTGTGTGGGGGGAGGTGTGATGTTGGGGGTGTGTATGTGGGGAGGTGTGATGTTGGGGTGTGTGTGTGGGGAGGTGTGATGTTGGGTGTGTGTGGGGAGGTGTGATGTTGGGGTGTGTATGTGGGGAGGTGTGATGTTGGGGTGTGTGTGTGTGGGGAGGTGTGATGTTGGGGTGTGTGTGTGGGGGTGTGATGTTGGGGGTGTGAAGTTGGGGAGGTGTGGTGTGTATGTGGTTGTTGGAGGGGTGTGTGTGTGTGGATGGTGTTGGTGGGTGATGTAGGGGTGTGTGGATGGTGTTGAGGGTGGGTGTGTGGATGGTGTTGAGGGGTGGGGTGTGTGTGTGGGTGGTTGTTGGAGGTGTGTGTGTGGGTGGTTGTTGGAGGGTGTGTGTGTGGGTGGTTGTTGGAGGGTGTGTGTGTGGTTGTTGGAGGGGTGTGTGTGTGTGTGTGGGTGGTTGTTGGAGGGTGTGTGTGTGTGTGGGTGGTTGTTGGAGGGTGTGTGTGTGTGGGTGGTTGTTGGAGGGTGTGTGTGTGTGGGTGGTTGTTGGAGGGTGTGTGTGTGTGGGTGGTTGTTGGAGGGTGTGTGTGTGTGTGGGTGGTTGTTGGAGGGTGTGTGTGTGTGTGGGTGGTTGTTGGAGGGTGTGTGTGTGTGGGTGGTTGTTGGAGGGTGTGTGTGGGTGGTTGTTGGAGGGTGTGTGTGTGTGTGGGTGGTTGTTGGAGGGTGTGTGTGTGTGGGTGGTTGTTGGAGGGTGTGTGTGTGTGTGGGTGGTTGTTGGAGGGTGTGTGTGTGTGTGTGTGTGTGTGTGTGTGTGTGTGTGTGTGTGTGTGTAATATGTAATATATGTATATGGTATTAACGGTTTATTGAAAGAGGCCAGCAGAGGCTGAAAATATACAGTTACATATTTGGGGAATGGGTTACAATTACAAATAATACAAGTAACATAAGTGAACAAATAAGACATATATAACAGATGGGGATCAGCTCAAACAGCTCAAACTGTGTGTGTGTGTGTGTGTGTGTGTGTGTGTGTGTGTGTGTGTGTGTGTGTGTGTGTGTGTGTGTGTGTGTGTGTGTGTGTGTGTGTGTGTGTGTGTGTGTGTGTGTGTGTGTGTGTGTGTGTGTGTGTGTGTGTGTGTGTGTGTGTGTGTGTGTGTGTGTGTGTGTGTGTGTGTGTGTGTGTGTGTGTGTGTGTGTGTGTGTGTGTGTGTGTGTGTGTGTGTGTGTGTGTGTGTGTGTGTGTGTGTGTGTGTGTGTGTGTGTGTGTGTGTGTGTGTGTGTGTGTGTGTGTGTGTGTGTGTGTGTGTGTGTGTGTGTGTGTGTGTGTGTGTGTGTGTGTGTGTGTGTGTGTGTGGTGTGTGTGTGTGTGTGCTTAGACTTGATGGATCACTCAAACAGTCAAACTGTGTGTGTGTGTGTGTGTGTGTGTGTGTGTGTGTGTGTGTGTGTGTGTGTGTGTGTGTGTGTGTGTGTGTGTGTGTGTGTGTGTGTGTGTGTGTGTGTGTGTGTGTGTGTGTGTGTGTGTGTGTGTGTGTGTGTGTGTGTGTGTGTGTGTGTGTGTGTGTGTGTGTGTGTGTGTGTGTGTGTGTGTGTGTGTGTGTGTGTGTGTGTGTGTGTGTGTGTGTGTGTGTGTGTGTGTGTGTGTGTGTGTGTGTGTGTGTGTGTGTGTGTGTGTGTGTGTGTGTGTGTGTGTGTGTGTGTGTGTGTGTGTGTGTGTGTGTGTGTGTGTGTGTGTGTGTGTGTGTGTGTGTGTGTGTGTGTGTGTGTGTGTGTGTGTGTGTGTGTGTGTGTGTGTGTGTGTGTGTGTGTGTGTGTGTGTGTGTGTGTGTGTGTGTGTGTGTGTGTGTGTGTGTGTGTGTGTGTGTGTGTGTGTGTGTGTGTGTGTGTGTGTGTGTGTGTGTGTGTGTGTG